GTTAAGTTTTCTAACTTTGGAAATTTTCATACAGGCCTCATCAATGATTTATTTGTGAATAAAACATGTAGATATAATTTCCCTAAAGCTAACCATGTCCATAGTTTCCATTGATTTTGCTTGAGCTTAGAGAATTTTAAGGTTGAAGTTTCTGAGATTTTTAGGGTTCAGATTAGGGCCAATAAAATTCATGCTTATCTTTGATCTATAGTTTTAATGCTTTACATTTTTGAAACCGTGATGAAATTTGCTACAAGTTTCATGCTTACAGTTTTCATTTTTGATGAGTAATGAACAAGTTACAGTTGGTCTGGATGGAGGTTGAAGATGAAGTAATCATGGCGTGTTTTGTATCATATATTTATTGATTTGCTTATGTTAACGGATGTATAGCCACCCTAGTGGTAGAAGCGCGCACCTGTAACCTTTAGGACCTGCGTTCGAGCCCCAGTGGTACCCTTTTGTGTTTTTTTACATGTTTTGCATTTTCTGACTTTTTTTGCAGGGCGCTGGGCTTCTTTGGGCTTGTTTTATTTTTTTTGTTTTTGCTAGCTAACCCCCTGTTTCATATTTGCTCCCCTGACCCAATTTATTTTATTTTCTTATTTTTGTTTCATTTATTTTCTTAAATATTTTTCCTAATACTAAAAAAAATCATAATTTGCAACATAACACACGAGATCACAAGCACTAAAACACCCTCAAACTCCCTTGTGATACGGTGGGAGAACTGACTTAGGATGTTTTGCGTTTGGTTGCAAATGTTGTGGTTAGCAAGAATCGGCACCGACTTTTCTTTTATCCAAAAAGGAAAGGCTGAAGAGAAAATGAAAGACCTTTGAGATTATTTCTTGAGTTCGGGGGGTAGATTATGAAAAGGGAAGGTATTAGCACCCTTTTCATCCATAGTTATCTATGGGCTCTTAGTTTCTTTCTAGATCACTTGCTTTTGTTTGAAAATATGCTTTATGTGGTTTTTGAAAGTATTTTGAAAAGGCGCCTTTGTTTAGGAAAACTTTGTAATAGTTCTAGTTCGTAAGAACGTATACAAAGTGTTGAGCTTTTGAAAATATTTCATGTTTGGAAAGTGTTTTATTTATTTTGAAAGTGTTGGTGTTTATTTGAAAATAGGCAAGGATGTTTGATTTGAAAGTGAGCAAGCAACTAAGAACGTTTCTACCTACTCAAAAGTCTTTGTTCATTTCTTCCTTCCTTTGATATTGTTATCTTACCATTAATTTGGTAAGAAGCTTTATCTTTGGATGTAAAGGGACGGGGGTGGGTCATTGTATAGTCATGATAGCAATGTTGTAAGATGTCTTAGCATTTCTCTTTGAGGGACTAAGATCATTTTGAAAGGCAACATTTTATAGCGTCATCGAGGGACTATGATCTTGTATGTTTGATTGCTTTTTGCTAAGATGTCTCACATGCATAACATGGCCATTTTTGTAAGGCAACAAAGTGGAATTACCTTAAGGGTGCAAGTGTGCAAGTGTGTTTGATTTACATGCATTGTTTATCTTGAATTAGGGTTTGCTACTTGTTGATTTTATCTTTCCATACAAACCCTAATTACTAACATTTAATATGAAAGCGATAAATTGCGGAAAGTAAAATTACTACGCTATTACATCATTAGGGGAGGGGGTATACAAATTTACAAATGGGGATTTAAGAAAATTAAACATAATTATCTATTACAACCATATTGAATAATATACAAGAATTGAATAAATGTGCAAGAAAAATAAATGGAAAGGAAATTATTTTTGTTTGGTTTTTAATGAAAGGGTTTTAACCTAATTAAAGAAAATGATTAATTAAAATTAAATAAAATTAAACCTAAACTAATTAAGAAAAGAAATTAAGTATGAAACATTTTTTAGGGTTTTTTATGAAAAGGTTTTAAGTTTAATAAAATAAATATGAAAATTAATTAATTAAAAGAACTCTATTTCTAATTTAATTTTAATTAAGAAAAATAAAATAACTAAACCTAAATCTAATTATTATTTATATATATATATAAAAAGAAATTAAATTGTTAAGAAAATATTTTTGTTCTTTTTGTTTTATAAAGAGAATAACATATAAATGTGAAAATAATAAATAAATTTTTTTTGGATTTTTAATAAAAATGATAATAATAATAATAATAATAGTAATAAAAAAAATAATAAAGAAAAAAATAATATAATATAAAACATAAAAGAAAATAAATTAAATAAAAATAAAAAGTTTGGGTCAGTATGCAAAAGTAGGCGGGGGTGAAAATGGAGCAAAAAGGGAAGGCCCGTTGATTGGAGGCCCAGGCGCTGCTTGTTGGAACAAAAAAGAGAGAAAATGTGAAAAATGGCAGCGCTGGGGCTTGAACCCACGCTCTGAGCATGAAACGCGCGTTGCCTTACCATTGGGTGGCTATACATCTGTTAACTTAAACAAAATAACAAATACATAATACAAGTCAAGTTCTAAAGATGACTTCATCTTCAACCTCCAGCCTGAACATCTGCAACTTCCTCATTTCTCATCCATTTGCAAAAATGTAAACATCAAACTTGTTCCAAATTTCACAACGATTCCAAAAATGTAAATTACTAAAACTATAAATCAAAGATAAGCATGAATTTTGAATGGTACTAAATTTTGACCTAACTTTGTCAGAAAGTTTAAACTTCAAATTCTCACCACTCAAGCAATATAAATGAAATCTATGGACATGTACAGTTTCAGGGCAATGATGTCTATATTTTATCTTCACAAATGTAAGCCTAAGAATGCCTAAATGAAAAGATAGAAGTTCATAAAATGTACCTCAAAACTGGAAATCGTGAAATGCAAATGAGCTTGATTCAAGGTGCTGCAATGATCAGGTTAGCTTCCTCAAGTTCCCTGGAAGCTAGTGCAATGATTAGCTTGAGCAATGGATGGATGAAATGGCCTGGAGAAGTCAACTTGCAGAGCTCTGTTTTTGAGTTTAAAAGATGATGAAGATGGAGTTACAGTTATGAAACAGGGTCAGGGATGGACTATATTTGATGTATAGGAGCTTTGTGAATGATTAGGAATGAAAACGCACGAGGGGAATGGGAGTTTAGGTTTCAAAGTCAGAATCTGCACAAAAATGGAGTTTTGATGCAAGTTCTGATTTGAGGGAGTTTGGGAGAGTTTCAGGGTGCTTAAGCTCATGTGTTAGCTTGTAAATAGGGCATCTATTTATAAGCAACATGTTTGTGACTTTTTGCTTGATTTTGAAGAAAGCTTGAGAAATGTGGTTCCAATGCACAAGTACCTGCCTCATAGGGTGGCTTAGAATCTTTAAACATGTTTCTATGAGCATACATGTTGTGTGTGTTTAGAACAACAAGTTAGAGGCTCAAGAAGAGTGGACTTTATGCATAAAGCCACTTTTCCAAAATAGCAACTGTAGCGGTGAAAATCGGAGATCAAGCTATTAATTAACTTGACTCGCAAAAGCAAGAGTCGCCACCGTGCTTTATTATTTCCAAGGGAAAAGGGAAAAGAGCGAAATAAAACCCTAAAATATGCAATGTAAAATAATACTTAAAAGTAATGAAAATACGATGCGTTTTTGAAAGAGATCGAGAGTTCGGGGGTTGGTTATACAATGGGAAGGTATTAGCACCCAATGCATCTGCGGTACTCCACAGGAACCTTTTGAAATATCTGTTTTTTGGTTAAAAATTGTTTGTTTGATTAAAATGGTTCGTTTGGCTAAAAATAGGTGCGGACTAGATTTTGAAGATACGACGACCTAGTGTCAATGTTTTGGCTAAAAAGATGTGAGTTTGAAAATGGGGTCTTTTGGGAAAATTATCTTGAGTTTAGCAAAATAGTAACCAAACAAAAAACGAAAAAGGGTATTCGCACGATCGGATGGGATGTATTTGATGACGTGAAGTCAACAAATTTAAATCTTTTCCTTGGAGTAAGCAAAATAAAATGAACATCAAAATATAAACATTCAGAAGTTCACAAGAAAATAAATCTGACAAAAACAAATTAATGATCAAGAGGCACCGAGAAATTGAAATGACAGAAATATACAAATAAAAAAGAATATAACTAATTATCTAAAGAAGTTATTCGAACTAAATTAAAAATTACTTACTAAAATAATTCTAAACTAATTACAAATTCTAAGGTTATAAAAAAAATCTAGTATTATTGAATTTGATCTAAATTAAACTAAAGTTTTAAAATTTAGTAAGTTAAATCTAGATTAAATTAAAATCCTAAGGTTACTAAATTAAATCTAAAACGAATGAAAATTCCAAAGTTACTAAACTAAATCTAAATCAAATAAAATTCTAAAAAACTACTAAACTAAATTTAAATCAAATAAAAACTCTAAAGTTATTAAACTAAATAAAAATTATAAACTTACTAAATTAATTCTAAATCAAATAAAAATTCTAAAGTCACTAAACTAAAACTAAACAAATAAAATTCTAAAGTTAACTAAATAAAATCAAATAAAATTCTAAAGTCACTAAACTAAAACTAAACAAATAAAATTCTAAAGTTAACTTAAATAAAATCAAATAAAATTCTAGAGTTATTAAACTAAAACTAAACAAATAAAATTCTAAAGTTAACTTAAATAAAATCAAATAAAATTCTAGAGTTATTAAACTAAAACTAAACAAATAAAATTCTAAAGTTAACTAAATAAAATCAAATAAAATTCTAAAGTTATAAAATAAATCTAAACTAATTAAAGAATTCTAAATTAATATTAAACTAAATTAATTATAAGATTTACTAATATATTTTTTATTTTTTATAACTAATTTCATTTATATATACATTGAAGCAGTAAACAAAGTCAATTTATATATCATCACAAACCAAGGGAACAACCAGAAACTGATTTCCCTAAACAAAGTTTAAACAAACAAGTAAAATCAGAAACTATAACAACTAGAGATCACACTTTGATTATAGGTTATAGTAATAATAAACACAAAAGCATTTTAAATGCGAGAATCCCAGAGGGATTCCTGCTGAACTTTACCACTTTTCAAAAGCCTCTCAATCAACTGCTTTGCACATGCATATGACCATCTTTGCTTTTCGATTGAACCGAAAATGCACGGAGACACATCATCTTTAAGCACATAGTATGCAGGATCCTGCCGAAGTGGACTATCTTTAGGAAGAAAACTACCAATCGTTTTCCCATACACTTCACAAGTATAGAAATGAATAAGCCTCTTATTAGTTTCAGAACAGTACTTCACCACAGGAAGCGCATCAATGAAATTACTGTAAATGGTATCCAAAGGACGTGTATTGTAATCCGCAGGAGTACAAATTGCAGCCAGATTTATGACCAGATCTGCCATCTTGATGAGACCTTCAAGTCTCGAATCTCTCTTAATATTAAGCCGATGAAACTGAATCCTTCCATTCCACGGAAGCGTTTCCAGTTCGAGAAGATGCTTGATTTTGTCATTATAAACATCGAAAGCGAGAACTTTGTGAGCGGTTTCAGACATAAGCTTCTCGCAGAGATGAGAACCGATGAAACCTCCGGCGCCGATCATGCAGATTGTTAGCGGTTTGATTGGGTTTCCGTCGAGATCTAATCGAGTTGAAGATGGTGTAGCCATTGTTGATTCGATTCTTTGTGACAGTGAAGAAAGGAAGAAAAAAAAAGAACGTGATGATGATGAGTGTGTGAAGGTTCTGATTCGAATGGTAGTATGTTGATGAGGATGATGAATCGAAGGGTGAGTTGAGCGGGGTTGAAGGGGAAACAGAGAAGCAGAGTGCTGCGATGAGGTGCGGTAATGTGTTGTTTGGAGGGAAGTGACGGTAGTGTGCTGGCAATTGAAGGGAGAAGCTCGCGAAATTGATGAGGTTACTGTGAAGGTGGGTTTTCTGTGTGAATAGGTGAGAGAGATAAGTGCTAGTTACTTATGTGTTGTGTAGCGGGAGAAGAAAATGAATAGATAGATAAGGTAGCTAGCGGAGTAGAGATTTTAAAAAGAGGAAGTAGGTAGGAGTTACTGTAAGTAGACAAGGGGAGAAGAGAGAAGGGTGGCTTACTGTTAGTTGTTTTTAGTTTTTGTTACTTGTTTTTTTATTTTACAAAGAAGCAAGGCTTCTTAAATAGAAAAATGAAATGGAAAAATAAGATTTCAAAAATTAATCTCATCCGTTCAAAATAAATTCAGTAGGTATCAATCCGTAAATTATGCTATCAACCAATAGAAATAGAGCAAGGTGTATTTAATATTTTTTTTATGACAAAAACGCCCTTAAATGATAAAATGAAATAAAAAACTGAAAGTAATAAAATTAACTCAATTTAAAATAATTTTTTTGAATTTTTTCTGAATAAAAATTAGCGACACAAAATGACCGAAAACGATAAAAAAAACGGACGAAAATTTATCCGATAAAATAAAATGAACACATTAAAATAAACTACATGTCACAAAGATTAAATAAAAAATATTCAAAATTCAAAAAATTAAAAATAAAATAATAATAAAAATATCAGACTAAACAGACGTTTAAGGTTAAAAACGAGACTTCGAACTGTACCAAAAAAATAAAGCGAGCATACCGTCATAATCTACGCGAAGCGCAGATTCATAAAATGATCGGTAAAAGGTGAAAACTTGAAATATTTTCTCGCTACTTTCCCGCATAGTGCCGGATCGCTTTTAACAGTCTGTCTATAAAACCGAAATATTTTATTATCGACATATAAACAACTTGGAGCAGTGCAAGAAAATAGTAAACAGATAAAAATGAATGAAATGAAATGTCGGGTATTTTACAACTGAAAGACGATACAAACTTTGATTTAAACTGACTTTTTCTGGTCAATCTTAAATACGACTAATGATGCAAAATGTGATGAATGAAGGTATTTACTAATGATTGTGACCAAATAACAAAATATGATATGAAAGTGCGACTAAAACATATTAGGGGCGAAATTTAGGGTGCAACAGTTGTGCCTTGATGAATCAGTCTTCGAGAATCCATAATCAACCGTACTTTTGGCTTGGGAGACTCAAAACCTTAATTGAGGCGCGACACCTGATGCTCTTGATTCAGACCTGTCTCTGCACATGACACAAAAGAAAACATGAACATACACCTTTGTATGCGATTAGAAATTAGTGATACATATGCTAAAAATGTTCAAAACACTTGACAATCTTCGCATAGTCAAAGCTTGAAGGTGAGACATTAAAACCGACTGTATTTCGTGACCTTGACTTATCTTAAAAAATGCAAAAAATAAAAATGGGATCTTAGGTCAAAAATTGGGGTACAACAACAACGTTGCCTTTCTTCCTAAAATGGTATTAAGCATAGGCAATGCATTGAATACTTGGATTAAAGCTTCTAACAATTGTGTAAACATTTAATTATGTAGTGAAAATCAAGTAAGAAGCCTACAAAGTGAGGTTTTTACAACATGCTTGAAGATTGGATTAAGTGTTCATCATAAAATTGACTTGTAATACAAAAATGAAACCCTAACTTCATGCTTTGGATTCTCTTTTCTAAAGTATGATCTCAATGATTTATTGGACATTTTGGAAAGCTTGTAACATCCTCTAAAACCTCTATGTTGGACATTTTTGAAGATTCATCTTGGAGCTATGTGAAAAATTTCCATGAAGTTAGGTCAAAATCCTGCCTAAACTAGGGCAAAATTTCACTAAGTTTTTCAAGTTTCATGAACATGTCTTCACAAAATCATAACTTGAAATATAAGCATTTCTAGAAAAAGTTATGCTCTACAATGTTTTAGATCTCATTGAGATATACAACTTCATTGTTGGAAGTTTCCTTTGAATCATCTTGCATCATAGTGGAAATTTGGCTCAAAGTTGTGAAAAAAACATGAATTTCCAACACAAAAGATTCTAAGTTTAGAAATTTTGACTTTTCAAAATGAAATCTTGACTTTTTTATTTCTTGATAAACAAGTTTCATATTTTTACATGTCTTGATGAATTATAATCTTTGAAACTTGATTTTGACCAAAAAGTCAAAGTTTGACTTTTCAATGTACAATTGACTTTTCATCAGTTGACTGAAATTCATCTGTCAATCATTTGATCTTGAGCAATGTTTTGAGCCATGCCATTAGGTCAAAATTAATCATTTGAATCCTTTAGGTCATGTCTTAAACCAATAAGTCAATTGCTAGGTCAAAAATCAAAGATTGCAATTTTTCAGTCAAAACCCTAATTTTGACCATTTTGCCCTTTTGATGTTCTGATCAAATTTCTTGAGGAATTGTGATCCAAACTTGATCAATGGACATATATGAGTTCATGATGTTGATATGGATAAAAAATTATGAAGTTTTACTGCAAATTGAACACAAATGACTTTTTCCCCAATACAGTTGATTTTAGGTCAACTGATCAATTGACTGAGCAAAAATGTGATCCAAGACTTGAAACTTGACATGAGCAATCTTGAGGGTCCAAAATGATCCATGAAAGTAATATGGGGCATTAAAATTCCATTTGTCCTTGTGAAAACTCAAACCCTAATTTTCAATTATCAGTGCTTGAGGAGGTGTCTTGAGCTGATCAACCCTTGTGCAGTTTTGAATCAATAAAGATCTTGTGAGAGATTACTTAAGAAGTGAGATGGCAAATTTTGGGGTACAACATCCCTAAAGCCAGAAATTGCACAAAACTTCCATTTTTGTGTCAATCTGATTTTGAACACCCAACTCATAATTCCCTCGTGCGTTTCTTGGCCAAACCATTCACAAAGATTCTAATACACATATAGAGTATCCCAATCTCTATTTTCAAACTGTAACATCATCTTCCTCATTCTCCATAACCAAAAACAGAGGTCTGCATCTTGACTTCTCCAGTCCATTTCAGTCATCCTCGGCTCAAGGAAACTATTGCATTAGCTTTATATAGGTTCAAGGAAGCTAACCTGATCATCACCATCACCTGAAACAAGCCCAAACTCATTTCCCAATTTCCAGTTTTTGAGGTATTTTTTTGAACTTTCATCTCTTCATTTAGGCATTGTTAGGCTTGCATTTTCAAATACAAAATGTAGACATCATTGCTCTTAATTTAACTGTTGTACCCCAAAATTTTCCCTCTCTTTTCTCAATACATTTCTCCCAAAGATCTTCAAGAGCTCAAGCTTAGACAAGTATTGACTAGGTCAAGCCAGCTCGTAACACTGATACATCAAATTAAGGTTTAATTTTCCATAAGGACAATTGGACTTTTAATGACTCAAAATACTTTCATAGATCATTATGGACCTCCAAGAATGCTCATGATAAGTTTCAAGCCTTGGATCACCAAAATTGCTCAGTCAATTGATCAGATGACCTAAAATCAGTTGTATTGATGAAAAAGTCAACTGTAGCACAAAAAGTCAAACTTTCACTTTTTGGTCAACATTAAGTTTCAAAGACCACAATTCATCAAGACATTCAAAAATATTAAGCTTGATCATCAAAAAGTCAAGAAAGTCAAAAGTTAATTTTAAAAGCCAAACTTTTCAAGACTTAGGAATTTTTCTAAGTGTTTCGCACATGTTTATTTAATAACTTCATACCAAATTTTCATCATGATGCAAGATGATTCAAGGAAAACTTCCAATATGAAAGTCGTAGATCTCAATGAGATATAAAACATTTTAGGGAAGGACTTTTATAGAAATGCTTGGATTTTAAGTTATAAATTCATGAACTCATGGCATTTTTGAATAAACACTTAGAGAAATTTTCAGCAGTTTTGGTCAGGATTTTATCCCAACTTCTTGGCATTTTTTTATATAGTTCCAAGATGATTTTGTCAAAATGGCCAACATGAAAGTTATAGAGGGTGTTTCAAACTTTCCAAAACATGTAAGAGCATGAATTTGTCATACTTGAGCTAGGATATTAAAGGGTGTGAAGTTGGGCATCCATTCTTGAATTGCAAGTCACTTTGTTGAAGAACACATAACAAAATCCTTATGCTATGTTGCATAATCTTGTATTGGAGGCCTTATAACTTGCCAATCTCACCATAATTTAATGCTTACACCTACTTTTGAGAAATTACCCAAGTGTTTTAGCCATTGTCCAAAAGATCTTTCCATTTATGGCATAAAGGCACCATTGCTATTCTTGAAAAGCAAGCTTCTTGGCACAAAACTTGTCTTGAGCCCATACCTTGTTTGCTTCTGATTTTACTCCACCATAAATCATGGAAAGTAACTCCTATAAACTAGAAACTTTGGTACTCCATCTTGGGACCATGACATAACTTGATATTTGCAATCCAACCTAGCCATAACTCCATAGTTTGTAAACCAAATCAGCTTGTTCACAAATCATTTGCCTACAAATAGAGGGAGCATTTGTAATAGAGTGAGAGGTCATAAAAAATAGAGAGCTTCTTGTGTATTGAAAATCCTCAACCCCCCCCCCCCCCCTCTTACTCTAAAAACCAGAATTGTCCACAAGAATCTCTATCCTTGAGCTTAGAAATCAAAATCTTCAAATCTCTCAAACCTTGCATTTCTGTCCAAACAAACCATCCACATACTTCATATACATCATATAGAAGTTGTTCAAACACAAGAGCAATTTCAGTAACATCAT